GGGCTATTTCACCTATATCATTTTCAGAAAACTCTTCAAAAAAAATAAGAAGTATGGAGGCATCTCAAATCTCCAGTGTACCAAGCCTAGATAAGAAAGAAGGCAAGACAATCTTAGGTACAAGAAAGATTGCTATAAATAGATCATCAGTAAAGATTTCAGAAACTGTCTCAGAATCTGCCTCAGCAGAAAAAGTTTCAGAATCCACAAATGCAACAGTACAATTGAAAAAATCATCTACAAATATTTCAGATAACACAAGTTCTACAATACATAACAAAAACATAACTCATGTAAATGCAAAAACTTCTACACCAGTTCCTGCAAAAAAACATTCAGTTTCTAGTGAAAAGATGCTTACAGTAAGTAGAATGGACTCCCTGTTGGAAGATGAGGAGGCACTATTACTAGGAGGAGACATGCTGGAATTAGATGATGATGATGAGATTGATGAGGCAGAACTGTTACTCTGATATGATACAAAAAAAATCATTATCAGCTATACAAGCTTGGACCTCCCAAATTCAGTCAAGATTTTGGAAGTTTATTTGAAATATGAATATATGACATGAAGGTGATTACTGAATATGTAGATTTTGTAATAATATTGATATCAGTTTGAGCAAAACATTTTTTATGACAGTTCTGTGTTATGAAATTTCATGCCATGTTTTCCGAGTGAATACTTTGTTTTATGAAAAAAGTTTCATCATTGTATAATTAAAGTTGCTATTTCTTTTATTTTGGTATGTGAGCTATAAAGAGGACAAGTTATATTGTCTTCAAAAAGTTTTAACAAAATTTTCAGCATATAGTTGAATAAAAAAATTCAAAACAGCATTCCTGATCTTAGATTTCTTAAACTTGTATTTGAATTCATGTGTCCCAGTAAAGGGTATTTTAAGGGTAGTCACATTAGTTTTTATGGAATGAAAATATGGTTCAAAGCTCACTGAAACTACCTCTCAGTAATAATGTTCAGAGTTTCCTTTGAATAGAAGGCATTTTAAAGCACTGTTGTATTTTCATATGTGCCATACATTTAGTATATCTATAAAGACAAATTGTATGTTTTGTGTTTCAAAAACCATCATGTTCCTTAAGTCACCCATTATTATTTGTGTTAACTTTTATTTGTAAAGTTAATGCTTATACCATCAGTATATGACTTTCAGGAGTTGCCCAGTTTTATGTGGCACATTTAGAACCAAAGCATGGTATCATGTGAGAGCTGGGCAATCACAACAAAGCACATATTAATGTGCATGCACTAATTCTGTGCTTTGTTTTAGGTTTCAAAAATACAGTTGCCACTCACTGATAATCTTTATATCATGAATATGTCTTGTGTAATTTTTTTTTAAATATAAGATCCACAACAAAATCTGTATCAAGAAAACCGTTAGACAGTTTGGTTATTAAGTACTTAGATAATTTACTGAACTCTTTTTCAGTTGTAGTGCTGGAATAATGCAATTAAATGTTCATGTGGACGGAGAAAAATGGTTTATATTTGCTTTCTTGTCAGTAGTTTTGTACAGGTAAGTGAAACAAGAGAATAGTGGCTGGCTCATCTTTCTTTAATTTTGGAATTAGTAACATGTATGGACATTAAATCTCCAACAAAAATCCAGGGACTGCAGGCATGGTGAAAAGTCCAACTCTGTCTAGCCATTAATTCTTATTAGAGACAATGCTGCAGGTTGCATTTCCCTTGTCCACAGATTGACCTTGGAGATTACATCTAACTACTGATTTTATCTTTTGATTTTTCTTCTCACTCATTTGGAACCAGTGATTGTTCTCTATTTTCACTGCTTGTCTGTTAACTAAAAAAATGAAAAACCGTCTTGCTGCAAGCATTCAAGACCAGTTCATTCACCACAGGGAACTACAAGTAAATAGGAGTTGATGACTTCTTTTATTCTGGGATGAAATTTGCCCAGAATAATCTCATGCATAAACTAGTTGTTTAGATGAAGAATACTATATATTTGCACCAATTCTTTTTAAAAAATTGTTAACAGACCATGTTGCAGTTACTGATTAAGCTGATAGGATGTAAAAACAAAGGATATTACATATCAGTTTCATTTTCCATAAACTGTTTTGTCTATTTAGGTATTATTTTTAATGAAAATGTTTTAAAATTGTGATGAAATTTAAATGCATATAATTTTTTTTTAGGAAAAATGCATATGTGAGTGGTATGCATACCTTATTTATAGGAAGTTCTTTGTGTAAGTAAGGCTGTTAAATATAATTTGCTTAGGAAATGAAGTCATGATTCTCGATATTTTATATTTTCCCAGACTTAGACTAATGGTGGCTTTTGACATCATGAGGTATCTGTGATGCTCCTGGAAATTGGACCTGAGAACTATTTTTGTTGTAATACTTTCTGCAGCACGTCCTGGACACAAGTGTTGCCAGTTTATGGACCTGAGAACAGTCATTGTTTACAGTAGACATGAAATTAGAATATACACTTTTATGATAATAGAGTCTCTGTTTATCCCCTATTAACCTCAAAATGGTGGGTTTACGAAAGGGGAAACTGAAAGGGATTAAGACTTCCAAAATAATGGATATACAGATGATAGATGGGTTGGCTATACCGTTTGTGCTACTTTTCAGAAACAGCCCTGGTGTGAAATTGTGAACTACGGTCTACCGTTGTTGACAGTGGTTCTCACACACACACGCGCACACGAACACACACGGTTAGGAAATGGGAGTATAAATTCGGAAATTATGCAAATATAGTTATTTACATAAAACATATATATGTATATGTATATATGCATATACATATACATATATATATATATATATATTATATTATATATATATATTATATATATATATATATATATATATATATATATATATATATATATATATATATATATATATATATATATATATATTATATATAATATATATATACCATATGTGTGTGTGTGAGTGTTAGTGTGAGTGTGTGCCTGTGCCTGTGCCTGTGCCTGTGCCTGTGCCTGTGCCTGTGCCGTGCTGTGTGCGTGCTGTGTGTGTGCATGTGTGTATACATATACATACATACATATATATATATATATATATATATATATGTATATGTATGTATGTATGTATGTATGTATGTATATACACACATGCACACACACACAGCACGCACAGGCACAGGCACAGGCACAGGCACAGGCACAGGCACAGGCACAGGCACAGGCACAGGCACAGGCACACACACACACTCACACTCACACTCACACTAACACTCACACACACACATATGTATATATATACATATGTATAAATGTATATATATATAACATATATATACATACATATATATATATATATATATATATATATATATATATATATATATATATATATATATATATATGTACACACACATCATCATCATGGAGCTAATGCCGACGTGGGCGCTTAGCCGCATCCACATCTCGAGCTCCTCATGGCAGGTTTGATCAATCTGCCCAAGCCACGACTACCTAGGTCGTCCTAGAGGCCTCCACCCAGGGCTGTCTCGAACAGAGACAATCTGTGGGCAGGATCATCCTGAGGGATGCGAGCCATGTGGCTCGTTGGCGATCACGGATTGTGCAGGTAACAGGTCCTGTGCCAGTCTCACGGTGCAACCATTGGTTGGCCACATGGTCCGCCAACAATACCCCATGATCCGGCGCAATGACCAATATAACCAAAGGCATTAAGACGAGACTCCAAGGCACGATAATGTCCAGGCTTCACTACCGTATAGCAATTTTCAGTGTCGAAGACATGTAGCTTGGTCCTTCTGCACAGGTACTGGTATCTTCAGATACTCTTGTCGAGAGAGTTCATGATCCCTGCTGCCTGGCCAATCCGTCTGCCGACTTCCCGGTCTGACAGTCCAGAGTTATGAACTATATTACCAAGGTATGTAAAGCTCTCTGTGACTTCAGTGTCCTCGCCGCAAGCAAGTACCGACGGAACAGGTTCTCCTAGCAAGTCCCGAAAGTCCTGCCCCCCAATCCATTGCCCGTTGTTGTCGTGGGGGGGGGGGGCTTAGGAGACGGAGACTGAGACCGAGACCCAATGCAGGGATCTCCCTTGCCTTGGGCCACAGCCCTCGATTCGACTAATTTTGCATGGTCTTTTCTCCCTCCTACTCTTTCATTTCCGTCCCTTCTCCAACCCCTTCTACAATTTATTTCCTAAAGTGTAAGAGCAGTGCTGAAAGGATGAAAGGCTGACCTTGTGCCAGTCCTGAACGACCAGCGGGAACCATGGGCACGGTATTCCCCTGAATTAGTTGTCTAGCCCTTATTCCTCAAAGGGACCCTGAGTGTGGACTGTTTATTTCGAGGCGTGGACTGTTTATTTCCCCGTTATAGTCAAGGCTTCCCATGGCCAGTAATGAAGATGTAATACCCTTATTAGGGTCAGTGTGGCTTGCCCCTTTATCAAATAGCCCCACCAATTCAAACTCTCCTGGCTCCACTTTGACCACAACTCTCCAGAAGACATTCCTACTCTCCCAATTTCCTCAACTTCATCAAACACCCCATCTTCTAATATTACTACCTTAAAGCCGTATTCTCCATCTTAATACTACCCCAGTCAACAATACTCCCGTTTCCACACGTCCCCGACTGTCTACCACCACCAACCCTACAAATATCTTAAATACTTATTTAGCTCAGCTAAATGGGACCGATTTTTCGTAATCCCTTCTACAGCTCCTTACTCAGGTAACACTACTATTTCAACAATGCCTCCAAAAGTAAGTGGGCAGAGTCCCTTTCCGTACCTGACATGATTGCTCCCGTCTTATAACAGTCACATCTGAAACTGAAGCTATAGCATTATCAATTCTAAATGATCTCTCTTGCAACCCCATTCCTGCAGAACCTCATTTAACTCTTAAAACTTATACTGGAACAGTCTTTTATCTCCTCAGCAAACTGCCTAGTCGATACCAAAGATTGGTGAGATTGTGAGGAAGACTTACTCGCCTGCCTCAAAGACCAAGATGTGAAATCAGTACAGTGCTACACCATTCCTTCTAGAGGTCATCGGAAGAAACTTACCAACATTGCCAAACTTATTTTCCGTACACATGACCTTCCCTTTCGTATCCACATTGGTGGACAATCCCTCCTTGTTCGACCATACCAACCTCCTCCCCATCAATGCCAAAACTATTGGCGCTTTGGACATCCTGCCACACACTGCTGTTCCACAGACCGATGCCCCATATGTGCCCAACCCGGTCATAACCGATCAAACTGCCCTGCACAAATGCACGTGTGCTAACTGCGGTGGCCCCCATAATGTATTTTATAGAGGCTGTCCCACTTACAAGTTTGAGTCTGAGGTATCAACTCTCAGATATAAAAATGGTCTCACTCTGTGTGAAGCCAGATGGGAAGCAAAATCGACAAGGTTTCTTTTATACTCCCTACACTAGTAATGTCGCTCGCTCTACCCTCCCTTCCACCTCAAGATGTTCCTACACCTTCTACACCTACTTCCCCACTTCCACTTCTACATTCTACCTCCCCAGTCAAATTCTTTTGCTACTCTAAACCCAGACACTCCATCTCAACTAAAGCTCCAATTTTAGCTACAGCCCCAACATCATCCCCTCTCCGTCCCCGCACTACCTGCAGCAGACAGACTAAACGACTTCCCCTTCTTCCCCAACCGCACACTCACCTCCACCTACCTTTGCCTTTATTCCTCAGACACCAGTCTCCTCTAACCCCCCTCATAAGAAAACCTTTGTCTCACAATACTCTCCAACCAACTCCACTGCAGTAACTATGGAAGATATCCAAAGCTATATGTTGGAGACACAAAATTCCACAACTCATGCTCCCTCCACACTCGAAGTGACTGCCAATATCCATCCCCTCCTACTCCCTCTCAACACAACCTAACCTAATTGCTCAAAATACTCAGCCCAGTGCTCCTGCATCGCAACAGGATCTGAGACAATCTAACCACTTACTAAGTGAACTGCTGTCACCTGCAATGAGGGCTTGGAGTTCAGCTTTCTCAGGGGCTTGGTCATGTACTAAGAAATGGCCTTCTGTCTCCTCAGCAAAACTGCTAATAAACTGTTCCCTGTCCCTTTTTAACAGAGACCGACTTCTGCGGAAATCCGGATCCCCTGTCAGAAGAGCATATATAGCTTCCAGTGTCTTCTGCGAGATTAAATTTTGTCTTGCTCTCGGGTGTTCTCCAATTGTTTCTTGAGCTGCTTGAAGCATTTTGCACTTGAAGGTGCCCCACAGAAGTACAGGGTCCATTAGATTGTCAAACACTGTGAAATGACCAGAGATTGCCTCGGCAAACCCCTGGGCACGCTCCGCCTCCCTCAGTCTGTCCAAATGAAACACCATACTGTGATCATTGGATTCCTATGGAGTTTTGAAGTGGACCCGGAGGGTAGCTATAACGAATCTATGGTCAGTACCACATAACTCGGCACTCCTATACACCCTACAGTTCTGGAGGGTCCTCTAACGAGTGCTAATGAATATGTGGTCGATCTGCTTGGCTGCATTACCCGCATCACTGTACCACATCCAACATTGTGGGTCTGGGTGCTGGTACAATGAGCCAGAAATCCTCAGTTTCTGGGACCTTGCAAAATACCGGAAAAGTAGAGTATCTCGCTGCCGGCATCAGCTCCCGAACCATGGGGACCGACAGACATCTCATAACCAGCTCGATCACAGCCAGATACCGCATTGAAGTCTCCCAGAACAGTATGAACATCTTGCCAGGGACAACTGTCTGACACAGATGCTAGTTTGGCATATAACATCTCTTTCACATCAAGTTTACAAACATCGGTAAGAGCGTACACAGCTATGGAGAGGGAGATGGAGAGAGAGGCAGAGGAGAGGAGAGGAGAGGGAAAGAGAGGCAGAGGGGAGGAGAGAGAGGCAGAGGGAGAGGGAGAGAGAGGGCAGAGGGAGACGCCAAATTATCTGAGTTCTGAGTTGGAGTTGAGGGGGGTGGTCTCATTATATGCTCATCGACTGGAGTAACCTCTACTACCCTGAGAGGGAAAGAGGCAGAGGGGGAGGAGAGAGAGGCAGAGGAGAGGGAGAGAGAGGCAGAGGGAGACGCCAAATTATCTGAGTTCTGAGTTGGAGTTGAGGGGGGTGGTCTCATTATATGCTCATCGACTGGAGTAACCTCTACTACCGAGGGCTGGAGTCTCCTGGAGATGGCTATGGCTACTCCCTGGAGATATACCCACATACACATATATACATACATATATATATATGTAAAATATATATATATATATATATATATATTATATATATATATATATATATATATATATATATATATATATATATACACACATATCTATCTATATATATATGTTGCTCTGACCAAGGTGATCGAGTCTCAGACAGACAGACAGTATCCTCTGCAAGCGTCTCCAGGAGCATAATGTTAATGTTCCTT